ACTACAATCTGAGAGCAACTGGATTTGTAACGACTACTACAATCTGAGAGCAACTTGGTTTGTAACGACTACTATAATCTGAGAGCAACTTGGTTTGTAACGACTACTACAATCTGAGAGCAACTGGATTTTCAAAGACTGCTACCATTTGAGAGCAACTGGGTTTTCAACGACTACTACAATTTGAGAGAAACTGGGTTTTCAACGACTACTACAATCTGAGAGCAACTGGGTTTTCAACGACTAATACAATCTGAGAGCAACTGGGTTTTCAACGACTGCTACCATTTGAGAGCAACTGGGTTTTCAACGACTACTACAATTTGAGAGCAACTGGGTTTTCAACGACTACTACAATTTGAGAGCAACTGGGTTTTCAACGACTACTACAATCTGAGAGCAACTGCATTTTCAACGACTGCTACAATCTGAGAGCAACTGAGTTCTCAACGACTACTACAATCTGAGAGCAACTGAGTTTTCAACGACTACTACAATCTGAGAGCAACTTGGTTTGTAACGACTACTACAATCTGAGAGCAACTTGGTTTGTAACGACTACTACAATCTGAGAGCAACTGGGTTTTCAACGACTACAATCTGAGAGCAACTGGGTTTTCAACGACTGCTACAATCTGAGAGCAACTGAGTTTTCAACGACTACTACAATCTGAGAGCAACTTGGTTTGTAACGACTACTACAATCTGAGAGCAACTTGGTTTGTAACGACTACTACAATCTGAGAGCAACTGGGTTTTCAACGACTACAATCTGAGAGCAACTGAGTTCTCAACGACTACTACAATCTCAGAAAAACTGAGTTTTCAACGACTACTACAATCTGAGAGCAACTAGTTTTCAACGACTACTACAATCTGAGAGCAACTTGTTTTCAACGACTACTACAATCTGAGAGCAACTGAGTTCTCAACGAATGCTACAATCTCAGAAAAACTTACTTTTCAACGACTGCTACAATCTGAGAGCAACTGAGTTCTCAACGACTACTACAATCTGAGAGCAACTTGTTTTCAACGACTACTACAATCTGAGAGCAACTTGTTTTCAACGACTACTACAATCTGAGAGCAACTGAGTTCTCAACGAATGCTACAATCTCAGAAAAACTTAGTTTTCAACGACTGCTACAATCTGAGAGCAACTGAGTTCTCAACGACTACTACAATCTGAGAGCAACTGAGTTTTCAACGACTGCTACAATCTGAGAGCAACTGAGTTCTCAACGACTACTACAATCTGAGAGCAACTGAGTTTTCAACGACTACTACAATCTGAGAGCAACTTGTTTTCAACGACTACTACAATCTGAGAGCACCTTGTTTTCAACGACTGCTACAATCTGAGAGCAGCTGAGTTCTCAACGACTACTACAATCTCAGAAAAACTGAGTTTTCAACGACTGCTACAATCTGAGAGAAACTGAGTTCTCAACGACTACTACAATCTGAGAAAACTCGGTTTGTAACGTCTACTACAATCTGTGAGCATCTCGGTTTTCAACGGTCCTAATTTTACTATCTCATGTTACCAAGTTATTGCCTTCTCAAAAGAAATATCGAATGTATTCCAATCTAATGATCTCCATGTTTTATATCCAAGCAATTTATTTCCCAAAATGGTCTGTGATCCATTCTATTGATTTCCATGCTCATATAATGAATTACAGGCTACAGTTGCGTGACACAACGCCATTAAGAGTCTTTTCCGTTGAAAATATAATCTGGTAATGCGCTTTTCCAGCTGATTTGAATAATACGGGTGGGTCCATTCTAGTCATTTTAATTAATAGAGCTCACTGATTTTCGTGTGAAAACGTATTTCTGATGACAGTTGTATGCAGACAGTTTTTTTTTATAAAGCTTATTGTGACTGACATGTTCTGTTAGTAATATTTTCATGGTAAGATTTCGCGTAGTTTTCGTCAACCATCATTATAAATTTGTGATATCATTTGATTATTACCTGGCAAACACACTACTTCAATGACATAGTTTGACCAAATAAAACAATTGAAAAACTGTCCATTACCCATTGTATTGTACATAGACTGTGGTATTTAAGTCCAAATTCAGCAAAACAGAAATTGTAAGGATAACAAGATGGGATGAGGAATTGCATGTGATACTAAAACTATTGTTGTATTTTCCAGTTCAAATGATCGGTAAATTGGAAGAGGAAGACGCCAAACAAAATGAAAAAACAACAGTGTGAAGAACAGTTGAGAAAACAGAGAGAAAAAGAGGAACTAGTATTAACAAAGGTAAGCTAATGAGCTTCTTAAACTGGCAGATCTGTTGGTAGGCTGAACATGTATGGTAAAATAGCTTGGTTTGTTGCTGAGTATCTTTTAAAAACTTTTCAAAAACAAATATTTTTTCTGATTAATTCATATTTTTGTATAGTCTTCTGAAAATTGGTTAATCCTAACATGTTCAAACCAAAGAAATTTATTGGTTTGTTTCTGAATATCTCATTGGTTTGCATCGTGTTACATTGTTCGTTGTTTGGTTGTATTTTGTGGAAAATTCTGTAGGTCTGTTCAACATCAGTTGTGTAAATATCAATCGTGAGCATCCTTAATATTCAATTGTATTTTAGTGATTATCAACATCCAATAAGATAATCATGTCATCACATCAATTCACAAAATAAACCTCTGAAAAGACTATTAATTTACGATTTGAATTCAGCTGAAGGAGAAATTAGAAGTGTTGTGTGATGGGAAAAGTGATAATGATTTATTAAAATGGCTGAAAGGTAAGTAAAATGGTGTCTTTAACGACGAATTTTGTCGGTTTATTTCCGTTGGTCAATTTCCCAGTTCAAATTTCTCATCCAGCCGAGTGGAATGAATCTTGCCTTGAATGTGGGTAGTTAGCGACGAAGACGTAATTCGAGTTATCGTCTTTGTCAATTGATAAACGTAAATCATGTAACTCTCTCAGTTTACAATCAATGTTCATACCTTTTTTATATAATTTTATGGGATTGTGTTGAAACATAAACTTTTCCACAATTTGAGTGTTTTGTTGCCTTATGTCTTAAACACTGATCTCAGAAAATTTGGTAAAAGTTTCTTGTTGCATCAATAAACATGTTGGATGGGAGTATATTGATTCGTTGTATGCCCAGGCTAGGGTTCGAGAAAAAAATCATGTCACGAACAGGCCTAGGCCTGTTGCTCTGTTGTATTCACAATTTAAAGGAAAAATGCGCGTAGAAAGCTTTAGAAAGCAGTAACAAAATGACATAGAACGGGATACTGAATCAAAAAAAGCGGTATTTGTCAACAAAGGGAATTCCCTCACGTGACGATGTGTTTATGGCCAGATGATAATAAAACGAGACTGTGAAATCTGTAGGTTGTTTGGCCTGTTGCTCAACACAACGGTTAATGAATTAATCACTTTCGGGCCCAGAATACAGATGATCGTTATTACTTTAAATATAATCAATGTAAAAAGGAAATAAAAGTAAGAATTAATTTTTCTATTTAGTTTTTGCTGAAATTTCAATTGCGTATAAAAATTTGCCCTGGTTGACACACGATTATTCAGCCATTTATTATGTGAAGTGGACAATCTTGGTGTTTTAAGAAAACTTATTCCATAAGGAAGAGAATACTGTTCATCGTTTTAGAAACTTCCAATTAGTTTGGTCCCTGGAAATTTTTGTTGTTTTCACTTACTTTTTTTACATTTCCGTGGTTACCACCAAAACGAATAAACAAAAATGAAAAAAAAACCCAAAAACATTATTTTCTTCGCATTATAATTGTCTTCTGATATGTCAAGTTTGACAGAGATTGATCCATTCATCTTATGTTTAAGGTTTGAAATACCAATGTTTGAAGGGCATAAAATCAACTTTAAACTGAAGGGAAGGACCCCAAATCTTCATAAAATGCACAACCATTCTCAAAGATAGCTTGCCAGGCAAGTTATTAAATGCCCACTGGCAGCTTTGATGTTGAATAAAAATATTTAACAATTACTGTTAACAGTAACAATCACCAGTATGAAATATTCAACCTTCAGTCGTACACTTCTTTGGGGCGATAGTGAATAATATTGGATATGAGTTATTGCCCTTGTCCTTGAAAACGTGTTCAATAATAAAACCAAGTTTTGTAAAACTCCAGCAGGTATCATGCCTTTTAGTGTTTAAAAGCTAAAATTTGAAAGCGTTTTTAAGAACGAGGTCAATAACTCCTGAGAAACTTTTTTTGATTTTCGAAAAGGTTCATCCATGGGTGATAATTAACAATTTCACCAAGTTTCGTCAAAATCTGTCAAGAGTTGTGCCTACTAGAGTGTTTACAGGGGAACAGGGGCTGTAACTCATACTAAATATTTTCCGATATTTCTGATTTTCAAATGGGTTTATCCTTTGGTGATAACCAAGTTTCGTCAAAATTTTTCACAAATTGTGCCTTCTAGAGTGTTTTCGAGCAATAACTCATACTTTTCGATTTTTACTGATATTCAATAGGGTTCATCCTTGGGTGATAACAAACACTATATGAGCCACAGAATGTAGCGATTGGATTTAATTGTGCGCCAGTGAACACAGTCAAACAGAGCCCTCGACAAAAAGAACGTTAACATTATGGCTTATTACCGACTTTCTGTGGAGAACTTCGATTGGTTGTATTAGCTAGCATTCAATCCATTGAAATAATTGCATTGTATTGCATTGGTACAAGAAAGGTGCAGTCAAGGTATAAGACGCAGTAATTAATAGCTTGAAATTGTGAAGGTGTGCCAGTCAATCGCTTACTCAAAATTAGTAATGGGTCGTAGTTAAATGCTAGTATTTTAACACAGACTTGCGTGAAATAGAAGAAATGAGTAACGTAATCTAGCCAGATAGAAAAGGTTACGGTAAATGTCATGGGATTTTTTTTTCAATGCCTGCTCGTAATTTTTATAAGAAAGTCTGTTATTCCTGTATTAACGAGGAAATAATTTATTTTCCAGCGAGGCAATTTGACGTAAAGAAAGCAGAAGCTATGTTTCGTGAAGTTAGTGTTATTTTTTATTTTTGTATTTTGAATGACATTTACAAATCTGGCATGTACTATCAGGATTGTGCCATTTCAAATTTCTTGTATTCAAAGAAGTTGTAGTAGCTTGAGATCAATAGTCATCACCAAGAAATAACCTTGTCAATAAAACACAGAAACTAACAAAATTGCAGCACAGCAGTCGTTTGTAACACGGAGGACACATAGATATACCATCATTTATTAGTCAAATTTTCTAGGCGGGAGTTTTGCTCAACGTTACATGATTACCAAATCGTTATCGTCAAACAAAAAATATTCTTTATTCTCAATAAATGAATATAACTCAATACAGAAGTTGTTTACAGAATCTTTCATTAGAATTAAACATAACATGAGATGCTTCAGCCCCAGACAAATAACCACAAGCAATGGATACATCTTTTATAAAATTTAGTTTTAATAATAGGTTTTTTTGTCCATCTGTGATGGTGGTGTTTATGAGAGATATAAGAATAGGAATCTGTGGTGACAGTGATTTTGAATATTAGACAAATATAACATTTTAGACATGGGAAACAAACAATTCCTTGACATGCTGTTCAATTAATAGAAAAATTCCATTCAAGATGAACATACCAAAGTGATGGTCCAGACAAACAACCACGAGCACATGAGTCAATTTAGAAATTTGTTCAGACAGAACACCATTTACTTCAGTTTCAGTAAAATTTATTTTTTATCGTTCTTTTTTTTTTGTTTTCTTTTTTTATAAATTCTGATTTCGAAATTGATTTTGAAGACACCACAAACACGTTGGGTGGCACGTGTTTCTGAGATGGTTAAAAAGAACTAGCTATTTATTACACAATCCATTTCTTAATAATAAAAATTACCTTCATTTATCGTTAATAGAATTTTTCTTATTGTTTTCTGTTTAAGAAATGTGAAAATCTTTTTATAAGACATCCTTAAATAGGTTGAAATATGAAGTAATTAATATTGTGATGTTATCTGGGATGGGAGAATTAACCAAAATATTAGAAAATGTTCAGTTGCACTAGAACAGAACTATATGCGGCGCTGTGAAAGGCACCAGCCATCAGAAAATAATATATGAAGAAACAGGATGTACAACTTTACAAGAGAGAATGAAGAGGCACAAACTTATATTGATGTTCAGAATTTTAAATAATCAAACTCTTGCTTTTCTTTCCCACCTTCTACAATCTTCCAGTACACCTTATAACCTTAGAAACAGTGATAATCAGAATACGTTTATGAAGCAGACATATTTTCTAAATATTTTATACCGCCTACTATCAAAGGCAGGAAAAATCTACATCAAAACTTAACTCTCCATTTCATCTTTTAAAAATAAACTCACAATATATATGATTCAAAAATTCCAACATGTTAACCATAACAATGAGCAACTATTGATCTGATGAACTGTGATATAGCACTGATTTTGTAGTAATATCAATAATCTTATGTCATTAGATTAGATTAGTGTCAATGATACAAATTAGGAATTATTAATCACATTCTAGCGACTAAACAGTCTTGTGCCATTTGTTGTGGACCACTAACTCAATCATATTAGTCTATCAACACTTTACATATGTATCAACAAATATCCTTTACTTTTCTTTTGTGAATCAAAAGGATGATCAATTGAAATAGTCATGGCAATGAGGGAGGTCATAGTTTTAATCATCAATTATTTGGTCAAAAGTTATTTACAACGTAAACGAATGATAATTATGCCTTTTGATACATTAGGCGAATGTATTATTCGTACTATCACTATTTCAGAATGTCGAGTTAAGAGACAGATTTGATGTAAATAATATTTTGAAGTATTTTACACCCCCAGAGGTATGACTTTTTCATTATATATTTAAGATGCTTATGGTTAAGGTTTGTCAAACTACAAAGAAGTGGAGCTGTTTATTGGCAGCAACAAATTCATTGGGGAATTGTCATCTCACTGATGGGTTTGTCACTTGGGGATGTTTGGGTCAATGTAGCTGTTCAAATTACAAAACACGAGTGGTGGTCGACCTAATCAAATGCATGTCACCCCTTCATTTTGACTGTTTAGGTTCTACAGAAATATTTAGCTGGTGGTTTATGTGGACATGATAAAGATGGTTCACCTATACGCATTGAGTTATTTGGTAGACTAGATATGAAGGGATTAATGTATTCAGCTAGAAAGATGGATATGGAGAAAACTAAAATCTTACAATGTGAAATGATAGTAGAGGATTGTAGGAAACAATCTCAGAAGGTGGGGAAACAATGATTAATTAAATCGATGATTTTGAGTCTAGTGTATAGTGAAGTGAAGCCAGTTATCTAGGTGCAAGATTATGAAATGAAATGAAATGAAATGAATGGAGTTTTTTACGTCCTACTTTTCTGCACCATGTGGGCTAATGAAGACGAGCAACGCCATGCAGGGTACAATGAGGGAAATTTTGGTAGGACATCGGCATTAGCCTACTCTTTTTCGATTTCCAACTGTCGAGGGATCTTTAACGTGCACAGCCTGTAGCACACGGGGCCTCGGTTTATTGTCCCATCCGAACGACTAGACGGTTTTTCCATGTCAGCCCCTCTCACCTGCATCACTGACAGGGGGAAACCGGGTTGAAAAATCCGAAGGTATTTGCAAGATTATTAAGTAATAGTGGATAACCTCAGCCTGGTTGGGGATACTTATTGCTGTGGATCTTCCTTAAAATCACTTTTTTACCCGAGAGCTTAAAGAAGAAGGAATTAATAATGTCAGATTGATCATTGGCATGTAATGGAATCTGAAGTCCCAATGACTCTTCTGACATCTCTAGGGGAGACAACCTCTTCGAAGAATGAGTGGGTGGATCATAATAGCTGTATCATGTCATCTCTGTAATGCTTTATAAGTACATTGTTTGACTAATTCTTGGTGATATTTCAGCTTGGTAAGAAAGTTGATCAGTTAACAGTTATATTTGATATGGAAGGTGTCAGCAGTAAAATGTTATGGAAACCAGGTAAAGTCTTCGCCATCTTTCAAAGCCTGATATCGATAACTGTTTTAACCTGTTTGACAAAAATAATATCGAGATATTTTGAGTTTTCGGGTAATTTGGTTTAAGAGAAGATTTGAATTATGATGTCTTGAAGAATGGGTTCCCCCATTTATAAAGGTAGATTATTGTGGTTATAATGTTTATATTACACTGCGCTGGTACTTTTTTCGATGTAATATTATCCATTAAGCTCAAAGTAATGAAACACCAATGCTATAATAAGGCATCTGAGACAGTCATACAAATTCAAAAATAGGTCGATCAAAAATATTGTTTTCCATGGTAATGAGCAGTTTGAAGTAGACAGCTTCTGATATGATCATTTTTTTCTTACCTTTAACCTCAAATCCCCTCACAAATATTGACCTTTAATTATCTGGTTTCAGGCTTACAGATGTACATGCATCTAGTGTCTATATTAGAAGATAATTATCCTGAATTGTTAAAGAGGATGTTTGTAGTAAACGGTAAACTGATATGTTAGCAGATCCTCATTGATAATTAACCGAGTCTGCAAAATGTTCCCAGTAGACTCTTTCAAACAGTATTAAATTAAGTGCCGTTAAGAGCAGTTTCAAACGAAAGTGAAGCCAAAGATCTGTCAGGAATTGAAATGAAAGCTAATGTATAGCTAGGAATATTAAAACGCAGAACACATGCTATTACGTAGAGTTTCGCACTGTGCTATCTTCAGTCAACTGGTCCGTTTCAACATGTGTCCTTAAGTTTTGCAAGCAACTCGATTTTGTGTCAGCATTCAGAAACCAGTTCAGATCCTTTGGTTGTGTTGTATAGCTATATATTCTTGACTACCTTCGTTAATACTAGCTAAACTACATTGTCTATTACAGCACCATCTATATTTCCGGTCTTATATAAGATATGTCGCCCATTAATAAGTGAAGATATGAAACTTAAAATACATGTACTTGGATGTAAGTAGTCATTGCATGCATATCTTTTGTTTGAGAAAAACTATCATTGCTAATATCAGACTAACAAAACCTTATGAACAACCGAATTATGCGAACCCATGAATCCTTGCATCTTGTTATTCTAGCAAACTATACAGAAACGCTGTTAAAATACATTGATCCAGAAGAACTTCCAGTATTTCTTGGTGGTAAAATGAAAGATGCTGATGGTAACCCAAAATGTGAATCATTGGTATGAATCTTTTTTTAATAAATGAAAAGTTAGTAATGGCAATGTCTTTAACGGTTGCTGCTAATTGCTGTCACAAAGGAGGACTAAATCGACTCTACTTTTTGCAAAACTTGAAAAATCGTTTTATTTAGTAGACCATTTAAGTACCATTAATGATAGTGAACTAGAACTTGCCATCAATACAAGAATTGGATCTTTTCGTCATAAACGCATAAGATTTGATGCCTAAAAAACGCTTTAGTCTTGTCATTTGGCAACTGCGAGTTTGGTTTAAGCTGAAATAGTTCACGATCTCAACAAATAACCATCCTATCATTATAACATTTAATAATTAAATTCCGATTCCGTTTACACGGTATCACGCAATATAATTGGACAAGAGTGGTCACATGCATCCGGTTTATATCTGTGTAAACAGAATGTAAATATAAGCTCCGCCTTATAACTGACTACTTTTATCATTGAGTTTGATTGACGTGGCCACTAAATGGCGTCTATGTCGCTTGTTTCTACGTCTTGAGTCGAGATTCCAAATTTCAACAATATCATGAATTCTAGACTTATTTCGAACTCGTCTTTCAATAATTGCACTTTCAACGTGGCCAATCAAGCAACTTTCAGACAGTAGACTATGAATATTACTTATTGCTGATTGGCTGTACTCTAGCTCTATTGTTAGTATCAGTTCATTAACGTTATGTTAAAATGTTATGTATTTATGCGCCTTAAGTTGTTGTTACATTAAATAAATATTTAACCACAGTGTTAACAGTGTGCACAGGTTTTTTGTTTATACATCTGTAAACTGAATAAATGTTCAGGTCATTTCTTAAATGAACGCAAAATACACATATTGATCTTACAAAACGACGAGAATTATCCTTCCGCCTTTAAGTCTCTCATTATCTCACAAATAATGCAATATTAGGCATCGAATTCCAAATCTAGACCAAAAATTACTCCAAAATAGGCATGCAAAAACCCCAAAAGGTAGAGAGAAAGAAGATTTCTAAATACATCATTTGCATAAAATGTTTTAGTGGATTAGAGAATGAAGTTATATATTGAGGTTATTTCCCTTTATTCGTATTTTAGATCTGTCAAGGCGGCGTGGTACCACAATCTTACTATCTAAAAGACAATCAAGATATGAGCCAATTTAAGGAAATAGTAGTGCCAAATGGAGAAAAAGTTAATTTATTTTTCAAAGTGGATAAAATAAATACTATATTAAGGTAGGGTTATGGCACATAATAAATCTGTATTTTATTCTAATTTGTATAAATCACATAAGACTGTTGGACACGGCAGTCAATAAGAATTATCAAGAGGAACCAATAATTCAAATGAAGTTATATATGCTCTTAAAAGATATCTCATTAGAGTTGGCAGTGAAGTTGTCTTGATTTCAACAGAAGGTTTTGATCTTTGTTAAGATATTTATATTCAGCTGGGAGTTTCAAACTGAAGATTTTGATATTGGATTTGGTGTTTTGATACAAGAAGATGGTAAAACTGTACCAGTCGTTGAAAGTGAAAGGGTTAACAGTCATATGGTACCCCAAGATGGAACTTATACCTGTAAACAAACCGGCACATGTTAGTTTTCTTTTTTCATTTGATTATTTATTTGATAAACGGTGCTAGTTGTTCCATCGTCCCTTATCTCTTACTTTGATTAATATTTCGTTGATACATGACTCGATGTAAAGTATACATTGACATTGAGTAAACTATTGTTGTTCAAAAACCTCACCCATAAGCAGAAAACCATCACGAACGGATTGTTTATCTTATATTTCTATTCAACGTCCATGAAGTACCGGTAAGTTAAACTATGTTCAGGCACGATATGTCTTGTCATTGATGACTCTCAATTATGATTTTTTAAGCATCAATAATGGTGCTCGATAAGAGCTTTGATAAAATGTAAGTGCGATAGAACCAGATTCGGTGAGTAAGGGCAGATACGGTGCGTTGTCTATTTGGATATAGAAACCTTTGTGTAGATGACAGATTCTAATAAAGGCAAGTAATGATTTAATAATTCCCATATTGTTGGCTGTACGTAGAGCATATTATAACTTTAACTTATAAATGTTCTCCGACGTATTTCAGATGTAATTTGTTTTGACAACAGTTTTAGTTGGGCTCGGGATAAGAAGGTAAAATATAATGTAGACGTGATGGTGGATGATGATTGTTTGAAATCAGAGATCGAAACACTAATTGATGAAGAGACACAATGAACTCGGTGATATTTTCTTATCAATGGTGTAGAATTGCAGCTGTTTTGTGCTGTCGCATAAATAAAACAAGAAAGTGAGATGTCAATATATAAGTTAACATAGTAATTTCCATGAAATTGGGAGTAAGCGCGTAAAATATTATATGTGATTATGCTAAGGTATATCAATACTAAAAATGTATGTTAAGACATTGGATTAGAGTTGCTGAAGTGGATTCAAACAAGGTTTTATCTTTCATTGAATTTCACCAGATTATGACGTCATTGTCGTAAATACTGTTTGTCTTAAATAACATTTCCAATCTGTAGTGTCAAAGTTTGCTCACGCTTCTATTAGAACTGCAGGAGAACATTAACATTCCTCATACACATTGAAGGGTACACTTTACACTTTTAAAATGCATGTGTATAATAAGGCGCCCACCATTTATGATGCTTCATGAACATGCATATCACTGGTTTATGATTTTCCTTAGGCCTATAATTATTGAATTTGTGTGATACTTGTGAAAGTTGTTACATAAAAATTACAGTCATAAAATTTTAAGCATCCCATGAGTTTTTTTTTTTTTTTGTTTATTATATCCAACGAGATCTGTAATTGTTATCGAGTATAAGGAATTGCAGGAAGACACTGTAAGAAAAGATGCTCACGCAACCCAGGACCCCAAAAAAGTCGAAATGGCATCATCCATCTGTTAGTTATGCAGATCAAAGTGTCATGGAATGCGCCTATAATAGATTTGATGTCATAATAAACCCCCGGACCGTAAAAAGAAGGCCTGTAAAGCTGTCGTCTTTGTTGCAATCTCATACATGGCTAATCCCGTATTCAGTATTTAAGTCGGTTGCAGTATGCCAATCATCTCTTTCGAGTCATTAGGTCGATTAGATATGCATCAGTATTGAACACTATAAAGCTTTAAGTTTATTCCCAATACAAATTCTCGTTTTTTAAAAGCTGATAGTTTCACCAGCATATACAGTGTATAAGTGATAAATGAATCTAAAGAAAATAAAATACTGACAATCCATACCGCAAAACGAAACCCGAACTCCAAAACAACACATTGGCAATATAGTGGTTGCAGCCTCTGAGAATATCATGTGAGGAAGTATATCATAAAAAAAACAGTATAAAACAGTAAGCATACCTTGCCTGGCGAAACACACACGCCATTGCCACGCAATATAAAAACAAATATGAAAATGAAATTAATGGAGTTTAACGTCCTTTTCTGCACCATGTGGGCTACTGAAGACAGGTAAGGTATGAAGGTTAAACAAAAAATGTTATCATACAAACATCTGACCAAAAACCAGCACATATAAGATATGAGGAAGTCTATTTATCATAATGAAGAAGCATTTCAACTGATATATGGCACCAGGTAACCAGGAGAGTAACCATCACTGCCTGGCGCCACATCCGCCATGGCCGCTTCATGCTAGCTTACACACAAAACCTAGTTATGTAAAATTAAGTAATGTGATGATAATAGAACTTTAATATGAATATGATTTTCTTGGCACTATATGAGTTTACACGAGGAATTATGACGCTATTGTCTGTGAAGTCAGTGTTCCCCAATGATCCTCTTTGGTCCCCAATCATACCCATCTTGAACACTTTGGTCGCGAGTCATTGCCAGTTTTTTCCATGACGACGATATACCGAAGTAGGTAATTCTAGAACTAGAGCTTTTAGTCTGCTATGACAGACCCAGCCAAACTTAAAATGTTCAGATAAGTCTGGATGTCCAGTAACAATTAGATTTTACAGGACCTCCTCAATTTAGAGCAAAATATAGCTTCTTTTTCTTTAGTCCTTTTCATTCCGGTCGCAACATAGGACCAGCACTGTAGATTTACATCTCGATTTATTTTGGGATTGGTGGCCTTGTAGAGTTCTTTTCCAGGTGGTGACTGGTCGTCCCTTCTTTTGTTTCCCTTGTGGGTTGCAGTACAAAGCGCGGCGTGGTATGTGGACCTGTCCTCTATGCAGGGTGTGACCAACCCAAGTCTACTGGCCATCTGATGCACAGGATTTGGCACATACGGGTATTGATGAAGACTTGTAAGGTTTCCGAACCGTACAATAAACAGTTTGTGTTGAACAGTCTGAGCTTAGTATACAAGGTTTTCGTTTCTCCACACTAGTGTTAAAATCATGACGTGCCTTGGGGCTATGTTGTCTGCAAAGTCTAAATCTTAAAGCAGCTTTCTCATGAGGGTCCATGCTGGTCTTCATAAACCAGTCAAACTCAGTTTGGAGGAGATAACAGGCATCCTTGTCGCTGTTGTTGAGGACTCTGCAGCTGGTGTCTCTGTAGACAATCGTTTTGGGGATTCCATAGTTTATGAGCATATGCCAGATTGTTGCCCGGTCCAACATGTCAAATCTCTTTTTGAAATCGAAGTTGGCATACAGTGGTGAGTGCCACTCCAGCTCAAGTTGCAATCTGGTCTATACATGATCTCCCTGTCCCGGAATAATGTTTGTTCCTCTACCGAATCACCATGGTGAATATTATGTTGGGTCTTGAGAGTTTTGGCAGTAGCTGCGAAGCTTCACAGGACGCCGACAAGGATATCTGCTGTGGTGTTTGGGTCTGTTTTACGACTTTTGGGGGAGTGCAGCCTGATCCTGATGCTGCCCAACTCTTCATCTGCCCCATGATCTTTACTGTTTCTTCCCTGCTGGTGGGACCCAGATTGATGTTAAGCTCTTCCGCTTCTTCAAGCACTGGTGGTTTAGCAACATCGCGAAAATGCTCCTTCCATTGGTGTAACTGGCCTAATAGTTCGTGAGCAGCTACTAATGTTTAGCCAAAATGTTGTTTTGGATTTCGGGTTTCGTCAAGCGGTTCGGATCATTAGAACTTTAATTATATAACCTAAACTACAAGAGCATGTTGTCAACAAGTGTAATCTTTCCTCTCTATTTCATGAATGTTTTCATCAGAGGTTCCATAGTATTATATAGAATTTCCTGACTTCCTCTATTACTCTATTTCAAATCATCTGATAAATATGTAGTTGGGGAGAAGGAACAAGTCAAGTCAAGCCAAAACTATGTTAGATTCTTGATGATGGTGATGAATGAAAAATATTCTGTTCTGTATGGTGAGTTTCCGTTAATTCAACACACAAAATACTTGAGAACCATAGCACCAGAGTGGGAACAAGTGCCAATTGTTACAGACATGCAATGCAGCAGTAAACGTGTCACAGTAACCAAACTTAATGAAATTCAGCATGCCATAGGAGACACTAGAAATCACCGATGGGTTATTCATGCTGACAGAATATGATTCAGTCTCAATAGAAAAGCTACCAATATAGTCAAAAATATAGACAAGGTAAAAAGAACTGGAGAAGCTATATTAAAATGGAGCCACCAGTTTTTAGTCACAAAGCATACAGGTGGGCAATTGGTCTCTTGAGTTTTCAACTAGAAAGTCTACATCCGACTAGTATTGCAGTCGGAAAGGGTGACTCTTTACCTCCAACAGAACGGGGGTGGCATTTTTAAGCTGAAAGCTTAAAGAAACTTTGACTCCTTGCACCTCAATGTGCAGTATATGGAGTGGCATCACCAACACAAAGTACATTGACACGTAAGATAAAGCATCTGACGATTAGGATAATGAATGATGTACCCGAGAAGTTTAATCCTTTAAATCCATTATTTTTTTCCAAAATATGAAGATTAAATACTACTGGAACAACTTCTATCTGTATCATTTTTTGAGCTTCTTAGTTTTTAAACCTCTGAGCTGTCTTGATTTTTTCAAACCTCTTATTTCTCGAAACTAGCTTTAAATTTGCAACTGGAGTTGATATCAAAAATAAGTAGGACTTCAAAATGATCAGTTTTATAGGTACTTGGGTTTCAGTGTTTTTTCTCAGTAGAGAAAGGAACAACAATCTCGGTTCGTTGTTTACAAATGAAAACCAACGTAAACCCGATCTTAAAGCTTTATCCCAAAACGACATCATGATTGTCAGTTGTTTGACAACATGATATTCCCGGTGCTTTTATTTTTATATCCTACTAATTCATAACACCAATTTCATAAATTCGTTACCCGACAAGCTAACAAATTCGTCAGGGAGGGATTTCAGGAAATGATAATGTTCAAAATTTAGCTAACACAATATGATCTAGATAACAAATCAAGCTTTTAAAGACATATCCCGAGTTATTGGGGTATGTAAATCGATACATGAGCTCCCCTAGAAGCATTCTAGCTCTTGTGGAGAACTTTTGCGTGAGCTCACTTGATTAACCTAGAGCTACGTAACACTCAGACAAAATACTTGTATCAACTTCTTCTGACACTCTTACGCCCTAAATGCCCATTTGTAGTTGTTTAATAGTCTTTTATGTCTAAATGAAGACTTCTGTCACACAATGTGGGTTGGGCTTAAAACTATTTACTAGCATGGTGTGTTCTTACAATGGAGTAATTTCTTCCGTTTTTACATTGCTTGCTCAATTGTGCTATGTGCACCGATAGACCACATAATGAACCCGGTAAGCTTAAATAAAATTTGTTGAGTAACATTCTCCGTGGATTCGATATATTTTTTAAATTAAATTCAGAGCTATGGCTGGGAAATAGAATACTTCATTGCCTAGGGCATGCAATGTTGTCAGACCTTTCCGAGAAATCTTAAAAGTTAGAAATAAGCGATTCCCACATGACACAAATAGCACCTCAAATGTTTTAATATGCATGGACTGACAAGCACAAGTCTTTGTAATGTCAATAAATAATGAGCCTGTCTTGGAGACTTTAAACATTATTTTGGCATCTCTTTATTTTTTTTTATTTTATATATATAGAAAATCGGAAATAAGCTATCAAAAGAAAATATGCCTGCAATGAAAATATTTTGTATCAAATTTATTTCAAGCTTCTGCTAAGAGCTTTCCGAGTTGCACGTGGAGATAAAAGTAAAGATACATTATATCGGTCAATCCACCACATGGCCATATCACTTGTGGCAAAATTTCACACTTTTCTGTTGAAAACGTCAACAGTCATTTTGACAAAGCTCGGTTTTCTGCAAGGATTATCACTGATATTTCACGAATTCCACCGACAGTTGACGAAAGAGAATAAGATTTGAACATGTTCTAAAATTTTACGAGTATGTGGTATATCGGGTCAGTACGTGTTGCACAGCACTCCAATACCAAGGAAATCGGGATCTGTTGTTTCAGCTGTGATGTATAGCCGAGCGAATGCCATATAATTTAATCTTTTTGAACACTTTGTAGTATGCTGCAAAAGAGATACCCGCTTAACCAGTCTCGTGCATTGTATACATTTTGCAAGTAACCTGCAGTAACGTGATTCTGGCTGCTTCATTTATGTTTGTCTGCTACTATTGGTATGAGTTAGTAAGCTTCTTGTAAATAATTCCTGTTATTGAAAAATGATCAGTTTGTGATCAACTATAAAACTCTCGGCTGCAAGAAGTAATCAATAGGGTATTAATCTGTACCAAAAGTCGAGTAAAACCCATTTAAGGAGGGGGGTC